TATATTTTTCATTGAACACTTCTGATCCTTGCCTTTGTTCTTCTATTTTCTTATATATTTCTTCTTCAGATTTTTGAGCATTTCCTTCATTATTCTTGTCATTTCACTTTTTGCCTGAGAGATTATTTCTGATCTCATCTCTTCTATGGCCTTATGCAGTTGTTTCTTTACCTCCATTGCAATCATTTCAGCTATTTCAAGCATGTGTTTACCAAATTCTCCTATGCTGATGTCTCCTGGACTTGTTCTGATTGGGGTGGATTTCTGGGATTGTGTTTTAGTCTTTCATTTTAACATGTTTGCTACTGGTTGCAGAAAGCTCAATTTCCCTCTTGAGTAGCTGCACAGCCAAGACCACTAGTGTCCCTATTTTTCCTGTAGTTTAGGTTTGCCTCTGGGTGACCTCTGAGTAGCACTATTTAGTCTTCAGTTTTCTGGCAGTTTTTGATTTGTATCTAGCTATCCCTGTTCTCAGACATGGGCACTTGTGTCAGTTGATGGCCAACCTTCTGATCCAGCATCCCCTTGCAGTTCAGTGCACGTTCAGACCTGACTCAGGTTGCACTGGTGTGACAATCCCGGTCCAGTGGACCTATGTCTCCAGACAGTTTAGGGTATGGGTATAATTCAGACACAAACTGCAGGGTCTACAGTTTGTGATCCACCTGAATCTATGTCTCCAGTCAGTTCAGGACACATACAGGCACCAGATGCAGCCCAGATGGGTAGCAGTCACAGACTTCCCCAGCCTTCGCCTCATTAGAGGGTCTGGGCAAAGGCAAAGCATGAACTCGAACTGCAGGTCCGGCAGCTGCTGGAGCACTTGCTCACTTGGCGCAGTGTGCGCAGGGCTTAGAGAGTCTGCTCACCCAGCTCCCAGCCAGAGAAGTCCCCGGGGCTTCTGATTGAGGACCTCCTCTCTGCCGCGGGTGCCAGGACAGGAGAGACTCAGTCTGTAATGTCCGTTGGGTCCTAGTTCATGCGCTCTGCCCTCAGGGAGTAAATGGGAAATACCTGGCTCTCTCCACACGTTTCAGCTGGGAACCGTGGCGGTGTGGACTGAGCACAGACTCGAACCCAAGGGCCCAGCAGCTCCCAGAGTACTCGCTCTCTCATTGCAGGGCGCGTGGGGCTCAGAGAGTCTGCTTGCCCAGCCCCCAGCCAGAGAAGACCTCGGGGCTTCTGAGTAAAGACCTCCTCTCTGCTGTGGGTGCCTGGTCAGCAGAGCCTCAGTCTGTAATGTCGGCAGGCACCTGGTTTGCGCACTCTGCCCTCAGGGATAGATGGAAAATACCTGGCTTTCTCCGTGCATTTCAGCTGGGAACCGTGGCGGTGTAGGCCGAGCACAGACTCGAACCCACAGGCCCAGAAGCTCCCGGAGTACTCACTCTCTCAGCGCAGGGTGCACGGGGCTCAGAGAGTCTCTGGATTTTGTTTCTTGATGCACTCTGCTAGTCCGTTTCCTTTGGTTGGTGCATTGAGACCATTTACACTGATGGTTATAACTGATATGTATTGGCTTATCTTTCTCATGGTATTTTCCTGCTGTTGGATCCTCCTTTTTCCATCTGTTTAATTGCTTGCTCTGCTTGTTTGTTTCTTTCTGTTGTTGTTCTTGAAATTGCAGTCTGTTTTACCTCTTTCTAGAATATCTTTTAGTACTCTTTGTAGAATTGGTTTGGCACTCATGAATTTCTTCAGTTGTTCTTTATCATGAAAATATTTTATTTCTCCATTAAATTTGAAGGATAGTTTTGCACATCAATCTGGGTTGGAAGTTTCTTTCAGTACCTGAAATACTTCACTCCAAGCTCTTCTTGACTTGATATGTTGTGTTGAGAAGTTTGCCGTGATTCTGATAGGCTTTCCTTTATAGTTCATCTGTTTCTTTTCTCTAACATCTTTTAAAATTCTGATCTTTTGTTGAGTTTCTGGGATTTTGATCACCATATGTCTGGGTGTAGATTTATTTTGGTCACGATTAATCAGAGTTCTGTATGCATCACTTACTGTTTGTTCGATTCTTTTTGCATGTTGAGATTTTCTTTTCTATTATTTCTGCAAATAGTCTTTTTAAGCCATTTGTGTTGACACCTGTTGTTTCATAGATACCTATTAATCTGACATTGTTTTTCTTTGCTTCATCTTGCAGTTGTTGAATTGTTATTTCCTGGTTCCTTGTTTTCAAGAGGTCCCTCCTTTCATGTTCATTAGTGGCAATGCTGTCTTCAAGGTCTGAATGTCTATCTTCAGCTTTGTTCAGGTGGTTTTGCAAGGTTTCAATGGAATTTTTAATTTCCTGGATGTCTGCTTGAATCTATTTCATACATTCTAGTTCTTTACTATATTGTTCAGTCAAGATTTTCATGAGTTGTCTGTGCTCTTCTATTTTCTTGTCAATGTCATCTTTGGATATGCTGAACAATTCTTTCATTATTGTTGTCATTTCTGTTTTTTACCTGAGAGAGTATTTTTTGATCTGCTGTCTTCTGTGGTCTGATGGAGTTGTATCTGTATTCCAGTTGCTATCATTTCAGAAATTTCAGGTGTATGACTTCCAGGCTCTTCCATGTTGATGTCTCCTGGACTTTTTCTGGGTGGTGTGGAGGTTTTGGATTGCATTTTACTCCTTCATTTTGTCATTTTTGAGGATCCAGAGGTTCTCTGGAGCACAGCCTCACTCTCCTGATTATGTGTGAGTGGCAGGGTGAGGGTCTGAAAATCCCCAGTGGTCAGTGCAACTCCTGTGCTTGTAAATTGTGGCTAGGTGAGGTTTTAGGAGAGCCTGAAAGTTTATTGTCTTCAGTTGGCTCCCAGGCATGTGTTGGAGGGGAAAGGGAGGCTCCCTGGATTTCCTCAAGCTGTCTGGGCTTACATGCTACTGTTTGATTCATGAAAAAGAGAATAGAGATCCACTATTATTCCTAAAAGAGGCACATTCGATGTCTTCTTTCCCTGGACATTAATATATATCCTAGATTTAGTCCTGTTTTGAAAATAGTGTGAAACTATTTACTTTGGCATTACACCACCTTGTTAAACTACACTAGCTGTTTTACTGAATGTTTTCAAGTTTTTTTTGTAATGGGGAAGGAAAACCTCTGTCTAAGTGAGATAGAAGGGGTCCTGAGTAGGTGGCTTTCTTTGCAACTTTTACATGCACTTATGGAGTAACCCAGCACTGCACAGATATCATATGCAATATATTTCTAACCATCAGATGGAGAAAATATTGTGATTTGTTCCCAGTTATTTCATGTAAAATACACCTACATATGTGCATCCCACTCACACAAGGGGATTGACTTGGAGCAAATATTTCTTAATTTGTTCTTAACTGAAGTGTTTGAGTTTGATGTTTAACAGTTCCCATTACGTGTGTGCATTTTCTGTATCTCATTTATCACTATCCTGAGTCCACAAGATGGCAGCATCGTCTCAGGCACCCTGAGAATGGTTTCAACTTCTTTAACACTGTGTGTGTGTGTGTGTGTGTGTGTAAGAATGTATATGAGGGAGAGACAGAGACAGAGAAAGAGAGAGAGAGAGAGAGAGAGAGAGAGAGAGAGAGAGAGAGAGACAGAGAGACAGAGAGACAGAGAGACAGAGAGACAGAGACAGAGACAGAGAGACAGAGAGAGAGAGAGACAGAGGTGAAAAAGATCAGAGGAGGGGCTTGGCTTAGCCACCCACTCAAAGAACTTATTGTATTTTTTAGAACAGTTGCTTTTATTCTTGTTTCCTGCAGCAAAAAAATCAAGGTATTTTAAGAAGCTTTGTAGAGCTTAAAATCAGAATTCTCAGTGAGCAGGAGGAAGACGATGAAGTCCTTCAGTGCCTTACTAGTGATCCTTTGGCTTCAGTTCACCTGTGAGTATGGGCATTTCTTTGGGAACTTACAGTACAATATGCAAAATTGTTGTCTGTACCAGCACTGTGGGATGAATATGAATGGTTTTATCCTCTAAATACAGGAGGTTGTGAGAGCACTGAAAAGATAGTTTCTTCTCTGGAGAGGAAGCACCCACTACCCAACCCATCTTCTTTGCCTGTTGTCTTTGTGGACAGGGATAAGTGGCCAGCAAAAAGAAGTGGAGCAGAGTCCTGAGTCCCTCAGTGTCCCAGAAGGAGCCATCATCTCACTCAACTGCACTTATAGGGACAGCACTTCTGACAACTTCAGGTGGTACCGACAGTACCCTGGGAAAGGCCCTAAGATGCTGATTGCTATATATTCCAATGGTGACCAAGAAGATGGAAGATTCAGAGCACATCTCAACAGAGCCAACCGCTATGTTTCCCTGCACATCAGAGACTCCCAGTCCCTTGACTCAGCTACCTACTTCTGTGCCGTGAGTGCACAGTGCTCCCCAGGCACCTGCAGCCTGCACCCAAACCACAGAGGCTCAGGCAGACATGAGGCAGAGTGGAGATCACAGGGCAGAGAAGTTCTGTTCCTGCTCCAGATGCAGTGGAAATTAAGAACAATACTGGGAAGAGTTTCATAGAGTAGGGCAGTATTTTTAACAACTGTTAAAGTAACTGACCATGAAGGGAAAGTTTATACCCATGATACTGTCACCATAGATCATCTCATAAACATAACACTTGCCTATAGGTGTTTGAAGTCATGAATTGTTCAAGTTGTAGAGCTCCTGCCTCATCTCTGCTCTCAGCTGCAACACCTCTTCTGCTTTAAATGAGGACACCTCTGGGTGGAGTATGGAGGGAAGGGCTAGAGTCAGAATGTGAGGACCGGTAGAGACTAAATGCTCAGTTGCTGGCAGTGATCTAAGGTTGGAGAGGGTCTATATTGCTGTTCCTCAGTACAGGCTGGGAGGGTCTCAGAGTACCTGACCTTAATCTTGATTCTTGTGCCCTGGGGTGTGGCATGCAAATGTAAGAAGCATCAATGATAGCCATTGGGGGGTTGTACATCTTGGAAGGGCACAGGAGCACAGGGTAACCCCAGATTCCTTAAGAAGGATCTCTGAGAAGGAGTGGAGGTGAGTTTCAGGCACCAAAGGGTTTGTTATGGTGGTTAAAGATTTGCATGGCAAAAGATTTGCATGTGTTAGTACGCATGGCATTGAATGTATTTTGGCAAATGGTGAGGACAGTTGGTGACACTGAAGATCATATCCTCATCCCCTCCCCTGACTCCTATACAGTATAGATTTTCCTTGTACTTACTACACTAAATCCAGGAAAAGTATCTGTGGTTTTATACAAAGAAGATCTTATAGTAGATGTTAAATTGAATTGTAGAGAAATATTGAAAGCTACACAGATTGCAAATCTGAGATTACAGGGTTAGTTATGGCATGGTTTACATAGTTCAGTGTCAGAAATCCTTGAAAATGGGAGATTAAGATTTCTGTTCAGCTTTCTTCAGTGTGCCACTAAGTGATTCAACATGAGTAGGACTTGCTGCAAATTCTTGACATGCAGAACTGCCCATGAGGAAATATTTTCAAGAATGGAAAAAATATTTGGAAGACAATGAGAAGAACCCAAAGATGTGATAGAATGAAGTTACTCAAATTTGGCTTTCCTTTTCTGGAGTGGGATACTTACTTTAGTATAAATATATCTCAAGATACATAGCATATGCTTTTATTTATTTGTCTTTTTATTTTAAATTTTATTTTAACTGCCCCCTGAGGCATTGCAGGTGTGGCTGCTGTGTCACATCTGCGTCACTAGGTGGCAGAGAGAATCGAGGCTATGTCTACGCTCAGTGTTCCAACCCGTGAACGCCTGAATGATTAGTAGCCTGACACGGACAGAGCCATTGCAGGGTGCCATTGCTTGCCAGCCACCTGGAGCCTGGTAAGTGAGGCCACCTTCTGCTGATGACCTTCAGTCACCTGAGGGTCTTGCAGTCCCATGGCAGGAGACAGGAGATAGT